ACTCCAAAACCACGTATCTCGTGTGAGGTGTTTAAAAACCTCCGCTCCAATTTTCACTTTTTTCGAGGGGAACAAATCAACTTTATTCATTAAAGCTTCCACAGAATTCTATTTGCACAGATACAAAGAATTGCGGAGGTTTTTGAGAATTGACGTCAGGTAGTTTTCAATTTAAAAACTTGAAAAAAGTATGGCAGGAAGTCAGGGTGGAAAGATGGATCATGCAATCAAGGAAAGGAATACCCTAGGTATATAGGAAGGCTGTGGCAATGTTAAATGGAATCCTCTGGGATCAGCGAATTTCCAAAGAGAACAAGAGGGGAATTTACAACGTTGTGGTCAAAAGTATTCTTACATATTGATGTGAAGTTTGGCAGCTGAAGAAACGGACACAGGGTATGTGAAGAGCAACGAAGATGGATTTTTGAAGAAGGGCGGGCTGGAATTTCTTGGAGAGATCGGGCCCGCGATGATTAAGCGCATCAGATCATGGAAGTCGAAAATGACATATTATTCGACATAATAAGCAGATAATTCATCTGGTATGGTCATGTTAACACAAAAACGGAAGAAAGGCCGCCGAAGAAGATGCTTGATTGAATTCCTCCTGGGAGGAGACGAAGGGGAGGCCCGATGAAATGGTAGTGATAGGGGATTTTAGAGTAAATGAGGAAGTGCCAACTCCCAAGGACATTTTGAGGATACAGCGGACTTTAGCGGCTGGGTATCGCACAGCGCCAAAGAGCGCCATAATATTTATGTATGTATGACAGGAAGTCTGCAACGTCGCAAATCAAGCTAAGTAGTTTGGTAGTTTCATCGTCGATATTGCCACCATACTGGTGTATTAAAGGATCCAGCATATTGGCAACATTGTCTTTTCTCCATTTAAACCTATGGAAATGTATCGATCCTTGGAAGGGCCAGGTGCTCTGACAAGAATCAATTACTTAGCGTGGGTTTAAATGGAGGAAATTCGTTTTTGCCAGAGTGCTGCATCCGCCTCTGTATTGTGGAAGATACGAAGAATGGAGATGTTGCATGTGTGAGGAATTTACAATTTGACTGTTGATTCTCATGTAAAAGTTCGCGAGAAACACGATGGTGCCACTGGTTTTCCCTGAAATCAACTCCCAAGCTCAAAAAAAGCTCTTAAGTTGAGGCCAAAGTGGAGGGGATATCCCGTGCTATCCTGAGTGTCCACCTCTACATCAAGACAAACTCTCCATGCAAAGATAGGGAGAAAATACATTGACAAGGCTGCCGCTTTGTTTGGGGACTCAAAAACTGAAAACACGGAATCACTGCTAATGTATTTGCTCCCTATCTTTGCATAGAGAGTTCGTCTTGATGTAGAGGTGGACTCTTAGGGCAGCGTGGGATATCCCCTCCATTGTGGCCTCAACTTGAGAGCTTTTTTTGAGCTTGGGAGTTGATTTCAGAGAAAACCAGTGGCACCATCGTGTTTTTCGCAGACTTTTACATAAGAATCAACAGTCAAATCGCAAATTCCTCACACATGCAACATCTCCATTATAGGAGTGATGATTTAAATACCTGGATCTCTGCCTCACACCTGGCAAAACACCGGAGCTTCGAGTTCTCGCGGTGAGCTGTTAGTGACAGAGGAGGTGGCTGGTGGAGTGCTCAGAGTGCTCATGAGCGAACGTGACCGGGTAATTCGATATGGACCAATGACAACTGATTCCAGCCCCACAGCCGCAGTCCTCTCTTTCCTCTCACAACCTTGGGTAGACCTGTGTCCGGCGCGGCGCATCGCTGACAATCGTCGACCGAAATTTTGAGGGCGCGTGCGGCTCTGCTCCGCGTTGGCGGCAAAACGCGACTCATTACACCCGAGCAAATCGAATTCGAGCTGGCCTAAAACAGGAACGCCCGCCGTCGCCATGCACAGATGAAGTGTTTTTGAGACATCGCACTCACTATCCAACATAGAGTACGTAAAGACGTAATGTAAATGGGAGAAGTGACGCCGTGTTTTGGTCGACGAGCTCCGAGCCCGGTGTGCGCCAAGCCTCGGTCACTTTTTCGATACATTTTCGATCCAAAATGGCGATGTAGAATTCGTAATAATTCATATCCTCCTTGTTTACATCGAATGCTCGGGCTCCCGTGTATCGAAAACAATCGATTATGTATCGAAAAAGTGACTAGAGTAAGAAAGGCGTGTCACAGAGGTCTCGGAATTTGGGACCTGGGAGATGCTTAGAAGTGGTGCCATCTCTCCCATTTACACAATGACTCTATGTACTCTATGCTATCCAAGAAGTGTGAACTGTGTGAACATTGATACTTTGAAAAAAGCTGCTGAATTGCTAGTTTAAATTTCATTCTTTGACAAAAAACGAATTTATTCGTAATACGCCGAGAGCTAAAAATTAGCTATTTATTGTCAGATGTATTTTATGCGGTTTGGTAAAATCACCGTCGATATTTAGGGAAAAGCTTTTCCCAGCTTTTAAATATTTATTTTGCACTCATAGCAAATTTAAACATGCGTCAATGCCGGACACACTTAGTTTAAACTCATTTCGCCCACTCATATTAATCGAAACGAAAGCTTTTTGAGTCATTCACGTGTCATGACAAAAAAGTATTAACTAATTTGCTTTGCAGTTTCATTTTTGCAATACTAAACAACACACTTCCAAACATCACAGCCTTTTGGTGAGCAAGGAAATAGGGTAAGAAATGTGCCGAAACGGACGATTAAACAAAATGAGCAGCACTGAATGTCTTGGATTTCTCGAACGGACTAATGAAAGAGCAATTTGTATTTTATACGAGTCAGTAAAGCTCAAACAACTACTTCCATCACGATATTTTGAGATTATCTTTAGTTCCTGGAGCGGAACCAATGAGGCATGATTGCTGGCAATTTCTTACTTTCGTGGTCAAAACTTTAGTCGGCCTTCTTTAAAGAGTCAGATTCCTGGTCGCAAGTCACTATTGGTCAAATCGGTCATCAGACAGCATCTGAGTGAAGGCAATGAATGAATCGGTTGCGCGTGTCACAAACTATACTACTTATATTTTCAGATTTCAAAACTGTTGCTAAGCATTTCACACAGATAAGAATGAACAAGTTGGCATATTGAACACTGGAAAAAAAACACATTGGATCTAGAGTTCAGACTCTTAAAAACGTCAACAAGGAAAAGTACTCTTGATTTAATCAGAATCTAGCTTAAATCAAGAACCAAGCCTCTTACTTTAAGCGGAAATCGTTCTGATTCAAGCAAAAATCCGCTTGAATCAAGAGTATTTTTTCTTGTCAATGTTTTTAAGAGTCTGGACTCTAGATCCAATGTCTTTTTATTTCCAGTGAACATCGCAAGACAATGCCGATGCATAAAGTGTATGAAGTACGTATTGTAAGCTTTATTTTTCAATATTTTTTTTTAAAATATCAGACAATGATTACTGAAAGTCTGTTTGTTCAAATCAAATCATGTGCAGACATGACGGACCTTAAAAGCGGTGAATTTTTGATGAGGCAACCACAATTGATTTTAGCAAAAATCACGAGATTTTAAGTACAATCTCCGTTACTTGGAGCGCTGATTCGACGAATATGACTCAATATAACCTTCCTCGCGAAATGATTCCTCCTTTCCTCTACGTTGAAAGCAAAACTCACTCGCCGATCGCAAAAATTGAAACGATCAACATTAAAAGAGGCGGTTTCTATTTCCCGCACAAACATCAAGCTCTATCATTGCCGGCGCGGCAAAAAACGCGGGCATTGTGGACCATTAGTTACAACTGCCCAAACCCGGCGGAGATGATCTCAGCGCGCGAGATGAATAGACTCACGGCGCATAAACTCAATATTACGGCGACGATTTATGACTGTACAAAGGGGAAGCATTATACGGAATCACTTTCGAGTAACGTGCTTTATTCGTGAAACAGACTCGGGATTTTTTCCCCTTTTTCATTTCGTACGCTTTCACTTTAATACGTGTGGACTGAGTAAAGTGACCATAATGTATCGAAACCGAAAGCTAGCCACGCGGCATCTCCCATAGACGCTGCTCCCTTCCGCACAGTGAAGGCCATTCCGTTGGTTGTTTAAAGCTTTTCCCGGAAGACGGTGTTTAAATTAGAGCATTGCTATACACGTTCCATCTTCAACGTCCCCGTAGTAATCGATAAACACACAATATTGGAAAATATATAAAAAAACAACCTTTTGGCTGCGTATGATAACGTTTACGATAATCAATTTTTATGGAGAGAAAATTGATTACGACATAAATCATTCATTTCAGTGTTACGTGATCGGGAAAAGTTTAAAATGACATCAATTTGCATTTATACCTTGCACGCTGATTTCTCACTTCCGAGATTTTGAGAGTGGGCATTATGTTCAAAATCTTTTTCGTGAATCTCTGCTGCATAAACATGTCCATGGCCGACGTGGGAAACCACGCAATTGAATTAAAGTGCCTCAAAATGTTCACTCCTATTCCATTTTTTTGAAAAGGAATAAAAAGCCAACTATATATAAATTGCAATTTTTACAAAATATTCTGCTATTAGAGAGGAAAAATCAAGACAACTTTAAAAAAATCCCGTTACTAGTTTTCCAAGAGACAAACAAGTATTATAGATATTATGTAACGTCGCCACCGTAGGTACGCGTTCCCGCACTTCGGCCATCAACGTTTTCCTATACTTGATTCTTACCCTCTCTATTTATTATTTACCCTTGAGAACTTGTCCTCGTATTGTTTGTTTCTAAGCTAGCTGCTTTTGAGTGATTTTATGCATGCATGTCTGTTTGAATTTTGACGGTCACAAATTCAAAAGATTCGTGCGGTGAGCGCTCTCCAACGTCGAATGTTGGAGCCAAACCCTTTCTCATAACTTCTCCTGTCTCTTTCTTTGATGAATTATAAACGGTTAAAATTAACATAAGGTTGAATGTTATCAAATACTTCTTAGTGACCTTGAAAAATGTTTTCTTTTCGCAGATTATTCAGAGGAGCCTCCTACAATACTTAAGAAAAAGAAGAAGCGGAAACGGAAACGAGGGAAAAAGAATTCGCTGAAGCTAAAAGACTTCAAGAAATTAAAGAAATTCATGTTACCGTTACTTCTGGCATATAAGCTCAAATTCTTCACACTTGTCCCGCTGCTACTTGGAGGACTTGTGCTCATCGTCGGGACCACAGGTTTCGCCGGATTCTTCTTCGCCCTCTTTGCCGTCGGCCTTGGTCTTAAACACCACTAATAGTAAGTATCCTCATATATTAGTAAGTATAGTAGTAGGTATATACTAGTAATTATCAATCGAAACTGTGTGCAGACGCTTAAAAGACAAGTCCTTAAATTCAGGTACTTCAAGTACTTGTTATGTAGGGAGAGAATCACCATGCCTGTGACGCTCTCTGATAGGTCCACCAGTTTCGCGCTTCCCATAAGACTCCCAAAGATCGATGTGAACAATCCTGATCTAAAGTTATTTGCATGAAAGACAGAATCCTTGCCTAAATCCTTGAGGATGAAGAAACTAATACAAAGACAAAAATGAACTTTCGGGTGAAAGATTCATCACAGTTTACTCAGAAATTATTTCAGATATTGGTTGTTAAAAAATCATCACCATTTATAGAAATCTGTCGCAACCTCGTTTGTTTACCTTGGTATAAATATCGTATATATATCTCGATGATAGTTGGAAACTTCTACTTTTGGGGGTTAATTTTAAGCCAGCAACTGCAGTCATTTACCTTTTTGTTGACTGTTGAGTACCTTTTTGTCGCTTAAAACTACCTCTCCGTTGACTGATACGCTGAGGAAATGCAATACGCCAAACAAGTGTACAAAGCTATATGGTTGTTTGCTTAATAGCATAGTAGGCACGCCATTCAACAATTGACAAAAACGTAGGTCGACAAAATGTTGGCGTCCTGAAAGTAAAAGTTTTCATCATTTTCACGATGATTCCAGTGGAGAGTCCTCTCTTCTCCGTGATGAAGCGTGAGTAAACTGGAGCACTTTAACGAAAACCTAGACCTACAAGAGCGCCGCCATGCTGGCACCGCGGCGCAGAGAGACAGCAGCAGCTGGACTCCGTACGTGCCACAATTTTCCGAACTTTCATTTTTAATTGACCGAAATTATCTTGGCAGGGAAAAACAACGCGAGCTCCGTCCACTCGGATACTCCTCGCAGGTTCCTAAAACAATCAACATTATTTTTCGTCCGTGGCCTCGGCCTTTCGCAGTCGCTCTCCGGCCACGGTGCCAAATCAGTTCTTATTTTAAAGGTTAAATTCTCTTTGGTTCGTTCGTTTTACTTCAAAACACTAACTCAATTCTGATCTTGCGTAAGCGAATAAAGTTTGTTTAGAACGCCATTAATGCGATTAATCATTAAATTTAAAGTGGTGTCAAAAGTACCTATCCATATTGCGACAGTTACTTGGAGACTTAAACGCAGGAGTAGAAAAATCAACCCTTTTTTCATAGATAAAGAATTACAGCATGTTTAAGTCGATAAGTGGTTTTAATGTCATCAACCCATGTTGGCGCTCATTTCCAAAACTTGCTTACAATTCCATAAAATCAGGTACAGGCGACAAATTCTCAGCGATTGAATGTGATATTTACATACATATACATATACATACAGTGTTATCACAAGCGCTCAATGCTTCAATAGTGGGTTCGGGTTTTTTTCAAATATGATGTCTGACACACTTTATGACCTTGGAATTATTCTCGTCAGTTTTACAATACTCAATAGAGGGGCCTTGTAGGACAAAGAGGATAAATGCAGTTTTTGATACTTCAAGAAATACGCGTCCGAACTTATAAAATTACATGGACGCTATAACGGAAAGAAAGTTCAAACTCATTTGGACGGAGTCAAACAGAAAGGAACCAAGCCACATCTGGATCGAACCGAGAAAAAGAGGCTTAAAGTTTAACTCCTGCATAAGACTCAATGTAAAAGTTAAACTTCAAGTTCAATTTCTGCAAAATGTGCTCCAACAAAAACTATGAATTTTTGGCGATAGATAATAGAGCAGTGGTCGAGTTCAAAACCACTCATAACTCAATTTTTTCCAAAATGTGGGTTGGTTCCTTTCTGCTTAACTCAGTCCATCTTGTGTTGCTTAATAAATGAATTTTTCACAGAATATATTTTAGGACAAGTTCGAGTTGGAATCAATAATGTCCCCCCCCCCCAAAAAAAAAACCACCCAAAAAACATTAAAAGTGACAACAGCGGAAGGTGAGGAATACGCGCTCGTAATTTTACACTCGATTTGATGGCGGCAATTCGATTTGAGGCAACTGTTTGACAAAACATGACGTGAGGTGAGTTGGGGCGTCCCGGTGGGATAATTGCCGGAGTGGCGCGGCGCGGCGTGGCGCGCGAATGCGAAACCAATTTGGTGGCGGGCTGGGCCGGTTTTCGGCGGGGTGGATGCGCGACTCCGGACAAGGCCGGCCCGGAAAACTCACTGAGTTGACGCGACGTCACGACGTGGGGCCCTTCATTCCTCCGCATTCTTCAATCATCCCGGGCCCGGGCTTTTATTAACTTTCTTTCACGCGGCTCCGAGGTGAGTAAGCCTACGCAGCAGATCGCACGTGTCCGCTGACTGAACGGATTGAGTTTAACAGGGAGGAACCAACTCAACATTTCTAGAAAAACAAGTTACGAGTGATTAGAGTACCTATTTGGGGAGAGTGCGGACATATTATTGAAATATGGAGCTCTTGAGGCCCAAAGGAGCAGCAAACCTTCACTGAAAGAAAATACTACGGCCGTGGAAGCCGAACTTCCAGGCTGTATAGACATACATTGAATTATTTTAAAAGTCTCCATTAGAAAATTGAACTGCATTAAGGAAAATGATGATAAAACATCAAGTTAAATGTCAATTAAATATGAAAAGCATAATTCATTGGCTAAAGTATATTTAATTGGCTTTTAGCTCGATATTCATCATTATTTTCCCTGATGGATTGTATATCTAGCCATAAGTTTCGCATACCAATTCGTTCAACTGCCTTGTCATCGATTACTCATAGAAGCTCGCAGGTTTTGCTTCAGAAAGCATCCTGCGGGTTGATTGTAGAAATTTATAGTCAAACCGATCGGCAAAGCAGACATAAGGAGTATGATGAGATCCTATTAGTGGAAGCGGGTGGTTGCAATGGACAAAGGACGTAAGTAATAGATTAACTAACGGCAATCCACGAGGGACCAGAAAGTTAGTCCATCACTTGCCCTTTTTGTCTATAAGAGCCACCCATTTGAACCAATGGGATCGCTCCATGCTCCATATGTATTCTTTATCGATCGCTTTGTCTATCAATTTCAACAATCAGCCCATTGAGTGTTTGAAATTTCAAACCCGACCAAAAATGGGCTTTCAGATATCCGAGCTTTTCATTTAGGTACTTGTTGCATATCAAGCCACTTGAATGAAGTCCAACTTGGAATATTTTCGGCTGACTCGGCTCTCTCCGGGCAGGAGTTGCGGTCGTATTTCATACGGCGCAGAATACGATATCAAGGAGCGTGAACGGGCGGGAGACGGGAGACAGGAGTCGTCGGTTAAGATGCATAATTGCAGCCTCCATATTCGTGGAAGATTTCCTTACAAATATGCGCGAATGTGGGTCACGAGAAGAAACGGCGGTTTTGAGAGAGCGCGCGCCGAGCGAGGAGCGCGGAGTGCGGAGTGGGACTCACCCCCGCCTTGTGAGTCCCTCGCCCGACCCTATTTTCCCGTCGAGACGGAGTGGCACAGCGGGATCAAATTGCACGAATTACGCGTGGCTCTTGACAGTTGTCATCTGCACCGATCATCGGTGGCATCGCTCCGCTCTTTTTCCACGATTTGCATGCCGAGCCCGACTGTTTTCGAGACCTCGCACTCATAAATAGCTCATCGTGAAATTTACTCTTAGAAAACAATATTTTCAGCCCAAACATGAATGGTGTATCTTCACCGTCCGGCCAAAGTATCACGAACGCCATGCGACGTTTAAAAATTTCCACAGCCATTTTTTTACAGAGAGATTGTCCAGCGAAGCTGTCCGAAAATTTCACTGAATTTTCTTTGTGCTGCCGATAAAATTCAGTGAAATTTTCAAATGGATTCAACTGAAGATCTCTCTGTTTCAAAATAGCATAGCGGTGGGAATTTTGAACTGTCGCATGGCGCTTGTGCTTTGGCCAGAAGGTGACGCAGTGGCGTGCGGTCCGGATAAGCAAGGCAAGCACTGCTTGCCCAAAGATTTCAAAAGAAAGAAGAAAATTACACCTGTTACATGCATTTTTTACATTTTAGCAAANCCCCCCCCCCCCCCCGGATGGCGAACGCTAGAGCTTGCCCTGTCACTAAACCCACCGCACGCCACTGAGGTGACGATACGGCGAACTAGGCCATTTTTGGGCAAAAAATGCCTAGAATATAGATATGGGGAGGGCACGGACAAGTCGGTAATTTTGAGATCAGGTTACAAAGCATTTAAGACCCAATAGGGCAGCCAACCTGTGAAATCAAATGATCCAGAATTATTCCTCATTACAATTGTTTCCATTCGTATTTTGTGAAGCACGTATTTGACGTATTTTTTGTATGAATCCAGTCATTTGTCAATTTATTTTATTTATCTATTTCATTTTATGTACATCCTTGACCATTTTGACTTGGTATTGAAAACTGAAGATTGGCAGTGGAAATTTTTTAGTGTTTTTCGTGTCAGAAGGTTGGCTGCCTTCATGGGCCCTGACAGTTCCATATTTCGACATGCCTGCACTCTTTCCATGGAGGTACTCTATTTATGGCGAACTATGTCATTTTTTTACAAAAAATACCTAGCTTGACAAAAAAACTAGTCATACGACCGTGAAACCAAGGAAAGCAGGAACACGAATTTTCCTCAAAGTTCAATCAATCCAAGTTAAATGAACCATATGCATGATTCCCTTCAGTACAGCAAAATTACTTTTATTTACAAAAGATTATAGTTGTGAGAGAGGTGATAACATCCCTAAATAAGACGCCATTTCCAACAAATAACAGGAGGGTCGCAATTTCCTCACCAAGTCACGCTGTCAGTAGATCAGCGTTTTCTGCAATTTGAATCATTTCATGACATAAACTAACCTTGAAATATAATTTTCCATTGACAAAGACGTAATGTAAGTAGGTAAAAGATGCCACATACGGCTTTGTTGCCTTACATGAAATGCATAGGGCTCTA